TACTGGGAAGCAATATGACTTAACAAATTCAACTTACTGTAACAGTGTGTGATATAATTACAGGACATTTGGAGAAATGTCAAAACACAAATAATGGAATGCCAAAGACACATTAGATGCTCAAGCAAACATGACATGCACATGTAATACTGTTCAAATTCACCAATTCCCCCTTAACCCAGTCCTTCGTCCTGCCTTTCCCAGCCCTGAGTTTGGTGCTCACCTGGCTGCCATTCTCTCAACTCCTTATTCACGTCACAGTCAAGTCAGTTACCAATGACTACTTATTTATTTGGACAAACAGGAGTGATTAGACCCAGATTTATAAATGAAATAATAAGCTTGGATTTCTATGACAGTTCTGTTCACAATAACTCAAAATGCTAATCTTTTATTTAAAAATGGAAGCTTCAGGCCCAGGTCGAGATGATTCATTACAATGGTTCATTTAAGAGAACGGATATAACTGTCTCCCTCCCATGCCACCTGCCTGCCTTCTTGAATCTACATACCCTTGTTTCCATTGCTGTCCCTGGCCCCGAATCTGAACCTACATTAGTGCTGCTCTCCATGCCGCCTACCTTTCCGAATCTGTTATAGCAAATTTTAAGTATTCCTTACAATGGAGCACAGTTATCTATGTGAGTTACAGAGCTGATTTGATGGTACGAAATAATACACATGACAGCACTGAACATGTAGAAGATGCTCAAAAATTAGGTGAATAACACTAACACGCATGTATTTTCAAACCTTCAATAGAATTTGAAAGGATTCTTTTTATGAGAAGGGATCTCACTAGGTAATCCAGGCTGGCCTCCATCCCTGAACTCAAGTAATCCTCCTACCTCAGCCTCCTGAGTAGCTGGGACTACAGGCATGTGCCACTGTGAAGAGATTTTTAAATTAAAGGAAAAAAAAAGTGTTTAACAATTCCTACATGTTGCATGAATGGTACACCTTGCACGCCCAGTAAAACACAGCAGGATATCTAACGCACATGTTTACTTTCTCTCCCTCTTCAAACACTAGTAAAATCACAATAAAGGAGTAAAAAGGGGGCATAAATTCATAAGAACAAAAAAAATGAGAGCCAGGTGTGGTGGCACATGCCTGTGATCTCAGCACTCGGGAAGCTGAGGCAGAAGGATAACCAAGAATTCAAAGCCAGCCTGAACTACATAGTGAGATCCTGTCCAAAAAAAAAAAAAAAAGAATGAGAGAAGTTAGGCAAGGTGGCACACACCTGTAGTCTCAGCTGCTACTCAGGAGGCTGAAAAAGGAGGATTAAAACAAAAAATAAAAAGGAATGAAGATGTAGCTCAGTGGTAGAGCACTGGCAAAACATGTACAACCCCTGGGTTTCAACCCCAGTACCACAAAGAAAGCATAAAGAAAAAAATGAGACAAGATGAAATAACAGATGAGGGTTTCATGAGAATTTTGGAAGTCATCAAGTAAACAGAGGAATGGAAACTATACAGACATGAGAACATGGGGCAACTTAAATCCTGCCTCCATCACAGGAAGTAAGCTGCAAAACAGGCTGGTTACAACCCCAGAACCTGGGAAGGCTCAGGAGTTGGGGGTTCCACATATTTCTGAAAGTGAGGGTGAGGTGTGGGACAAAAAACAAAAACAACAGAGTCTGGGTGGAGCCCTACCTAAGGATCCCTCACACTCCCCCCTCCTCCCTGCATAGGCAAAGCACCACACCTGTCTTGCCCCAGGAGAAGAAGAGAGGGCTTTTGGGGAACTTGGGCATCTCAGGGTACACCAGCCTTGGCTGAAGACATCAGCCATTTGATCCTTCTGATTAAAAAGTTTCTCTTGTGCTTCAGGGAAAGGAAGGCCAAAATGAACAATATAAAAAAACAGTGACTATGAAAGTGTATCTTAAGATCACAGTACTCTTTAGAGAATATTCTTGGACACTCAGAGTCAGAGGGTCAGTTCGCTTCCATTACTGGTCTAGTGGTGTCCCCACTGTCTGTACTGTACCTGGAAGTGGCTGAAGTGCGGGCATGGTGGGGAGACAGCGCCTGGGGCTGTAGCAGTTAACCTTCATGTCCTCATCAGGAGACTCAGTCTAATGAGCCAGTAATCTCTTTCTGTATAGAAATCTCTCCAATGAGCTACAGGGTCATGAGAGCAGCTCACCAGGCAAAGAAAACCTCACACATGTACGAACATTTTTTCTTTATATAATAAAAAACAATTAGATTTAAAATCATTTGATATTTTTGTTTGAAGTTAAATTTTCTTGACAGAACTGGCACTAACCTTGAAAACAAAATCAGGTTAAATCAACCACAAGAATGACTGGGTAGATCCATCATTAGTGCTACATTGTGGTTCCATGTAAGGTAGGAAAAAACCTCTGACTCAATGCCTTTTTAGTTTTGTTTTTTTGAGACAGATTTGAGGCTAGCCTCAAACTTACAGCAAACCTCCTGCCTCAGCCTCAGCTTCCCCAAGTGCTGGGATTAAAGATGTGCACCACCAGGCCCAGCTTTGGTGTCTTATTAAAAACAGTCAAAAATCACAAAATGTCGAGCCATAATACCACTGGCTCACACCCAGTGGGAAACACCAGACAGTGCTCAGGACCAACCAGAGCCATCACCTCTGAGGGTCCCCTGTAGAGGGCGCTCCATCAGGGGCAACAGGCAAGGTGGGGCAGGGAAACCAGCACCTAAACTCCAGGAAGGCAGAGATTGTTTTTATTTTGTTCACTACGTTGTTTACTTCTCCTTCAACTGGACTGGCACATAACTGCTGTTCAGTTAATACTGTAAAATAAAAAGGCTGAGACAAACCATTGTAAGGTCCTGACAGAAACAAACCACAGTGCTGCTCAAGGCACTCCCTCATTTTGTTTTCACAAATCTTTTTAATGTCTGATATTAATTAAGAAAGACAGCTGGACCCTCTATCTGCTTCGGCATCGAGTCAGTTTCCCGTTAAACAGCCTTTGGACACTCCTGAGTGAACGAGGGTGGGAAAAGCAAATAAAGTTGTTGTATTGTTATGAAAATAGTTTTGACCTCATCAGCCCCTGAAAGCCTCTGTGCTGCCTGGACTGCCCTTGCAGACATTGTTTTGAAAAGATATGTATTCTAAGACTCATAACTTTGATCAGCATTTGAAAGAGATTCTCAAACAAGGAAAGGAAAAAAAAAAAGGTGGAGAGAGGAAAACTTGTTCTTTAACATTAATTTCAACAGGAAGTGAAGTGCTATTGGAAGAAAAAAGCCAATGTTTCTCCTTGACAAGACAGGCCTCAGAACAAAAACACACACTCTGACTCCTTCCAGTTCATGTATAAGTGTCAATTGTTAACGTACATTTACTTTTTAGACCATCACTTATAAGTGACATTCTAATTACAAGACCCATAAGTCACCTTTCTCCTGGCTTTTCTTCTCTTGTGCAACTTTCTGCCGACTGTCATTCAAATATTATTTAACAGGACAAAAGAGCAATTTCCCATTACCAGTCAGTCCCAAACTGCTACACAGTCCTGTCTTTCAGTCTGCATGTTTCTGTGAATAGCAGCTGGAAGGGATTCTACAAACCAACCGCATCTTTGTTGTCTAAACAGGTGCTGCTCTCTAGCTAGGCAGGTGGTTCTGTCACTACAAACAATTCTTACAAGGCAAAACAGTTCTACTGAACTATGGTCAAGAAAAATCATTACTCATGAGTAACTATCTCTCCTCTTTATTTTTCTCATACCGAGAAGATGCATGGTTTCAAACGTTCATCCCACAGGGAGGCAAAAACAAAGCAGTGACAGTAACTTTCCCAGAAGATATTTGGTTTCCCTGTCTTATTTAAATTCACACCCCTTTGCAAACCTGGCAGAGCTTATTAACCAGGACAGCATGCCCCTGGTCACATTGACCTACACTGGAATCCTAAAGGTAACATTTGGAATGCAACTTCCAGCATGTTACTTAACCTGCACCTCACTTTTCTGATCTTTGAAATGAAAATAAACCGGGTGTGGTGGCGCACACCTGTAATCCCAGCACACAGACAGTTGAGGCAGAAGGATCACCACAAGTTTGAGGGCAGCCTGGGCTACATAGTGAGTTCAAGGACGGCCTGAGCTGCACAGCAAGATCCTGTCTCTAAATAACATAAAATATAAATAAATAAATACATACATATATACATACAATGCAAATAACAACAATATCTACTCCTTAAGTGGATGGCTCCGTTAAATGGCATAATGAGTATGGTAATCACTTAAAACACTGCCTGACAACATACAATACTCTGTAGGCACTGACTTCAGTTTCTGCATACAGTCTATTAAAACAGCTTCACTCTAGCCACAATGGACCAAAGAGTTCATAATAAAAAGATGAGCCCCAGGGTCATTAAAGAGGAAAAGCCTAAGAAAGATGTTTACTGCAATGTCCTTCTCTCTCAAGACAGGCAATTGTCTGAGACCCCTAAGAACGTGCTCAAAGCCGTGAGCAAAGCATCCAAGACATTTTCAGTGCTACTATGATCCTGTGCAGGGAGAGAAAAGAAACTCAAGAAGACTTGTCCTTCCAAACAGACTGACGGTCACTGAGCAGAAAGCTTGACTTAGCTCTTTGGACACAAGAGAATTGTGCTTCCTGCTTCAACACAGATATTTCTGTGTGATAAAACCAGTCCAGCTACAAAGCCATGTTTTTAACCACTAGACAAAGAGGTAGGCTAAATAAATATACGCCATGCTTATAGACCATGGAAAGGGACTAAGAATCACATATAGGGACTTGCTTATCTGTGATATTTAAATTTTGACAATAAGAATGTATGGATTAGGGCCGGGGATTTAGCTCAGGGGCACCATGCCTGCCTCACAAGTGCAAGGTCCTGAGTTCGATCCCCAGTACCAAAAAAAAAGAATGCATGGATTTGAGTAAAAGTTTTTTATATCTCATAAGCTTAGTCACACGCTTTATTGGAGCTTTTGGGGAATTCTATTTGCTTACCACCTGACACACATAGCGACTTGCTCAAGTGCACAAGCTCTCCCATGGCGAGCCCACTGTCACAGCAGCTGGCAGCACCTGGAGAGAAAGAAGGGGTGGATATGAATCCTGACAGTCAGGACAGACACAGGCTCCATCCACTCACCCGCAAACACCAAGACCCACTTGATTTAGTAAGTTTGCTGGTCTCCATGTCCCACTTTATCTTCAAATATGACTGTGTCCCCCTTAGCTTAAATTAATTCATGATACTAAAAATTTTACAAGGTTCAGCTGGAAGCAGGTAATCAAAGTTCAGAACAGGGACAAGACAAAAGTTGTGATTAACCCCTTATCCTAGCAGGGTTGTCATATTACAACTGACCATACATAATAGTCTTATGAATAGTTTTTACTAAGAAGATTTTCTTTTATTTCTTACTCATTAAACAAGTTCTTTCCATCTTCTTTCATATTTCTCCACAGTAATTGGTTAGGTTTCCTCTTCTTTATTACCTATTAGGAGAAACAATATGTAAGCCTGGGCTAATACATAACAAGAAAAAAAGCAGTTTTCATGAATCTCATGTATATTTATACACGATCAGAATATGATCAATTTGCTACAACGTAGTGAACTCCCTACAAACCCTCAAAACTGACATAAAAGTGAAAAAAAAAGCTGACCTTTCTTTTAGCAAAGAGAAAGCAAAGATTCAGTCATACCCATAAGGGGTAGACTGATCCATAAATAGAAATATTAAAGGCTTACTTCCTGGAAAAAAAGTGCACTTCCACATTGTTTTAGGTTTTAAGGATTACGATTTGACTGCATATAAGCTGAAAGAAAACAAAAGTCCTGCCAAGTACATCTGTAGTCCCAGATGCACAGGAGGCTGAGGCAGAGGATCATGAGTAGGAGGCCAGCTTGGGCAACTAAGTGAGACTCTGCCTCAAAATCAAAGAAAAGGGTTGATGGCCTAGCTCAGCCATAGAGCACTTGCCTCATATGCCCAAGGCTGGGTTCCAACCCTACTACCAAAAAGAAAAAAAAGTGAAATATAACAATGCAAGATGGCATGCAGTGACTCTTTTGTGCTAATTGGATTCATGACCTTTATGGAAGCAGCATGCTTTCTTTAAAAGCAGAATATAACCTATACCCAAGGATATTACCTCAATCAAAGATATCTAGAGTTTATGATTTGGATTTTAAAATATATATATATATATATGTATATGTATATATTTTCATTTTTCAGATTTCTAACACTTCATTTGAGCCTTGACTCAATTATTCTTGAGATTGGTTTGCTTGGCTGCCATGTGACAGGATGGGAAATTCTCTATTTTGTCACCCTAATGGCTAACACAAGAATTCCTCTTGGAGGAAACTTCCTTTGTGAAAAAGTGTTCCCTCGGTTGGCCCCCTATCTCTCCTGTCCCGTCCCCTGGAGTGGGTGGCCCTCTACAGAATGGCTGTCAAGATCCCAGAATGGTTGTCAAGAAAGGGAAATTGCTCTGCATTAGACAAGGGGCAGAATGTGTTGTTTTATCTCTGGAGTGAATAGGGAGAAGAATAATGAGGAGAGGGAGAGGGAGAGAAGAAAAGAAGAGCTGGAATAATGGAGCAAAGCTGGGATTAGGTGGGGGTGAAGCACTCAGGTCAAGGGAGCTCTGAAAACATTTTAAGAATGGGAGGCCTTACTAGGAAAGTTTCTGCCTTCCTGCAAAGCAAGGCTCACCCACCTCTATTTCTCCATCTTCAGTTAAGTATACAAAACCTGCAAATGCTGTGTGGAGAGGGCCCCCCGAAATCAGAGCCAAGTTTCACACCTGCTGCACTATGGTACAAACCACTGGCACAGGCAAGAAAGAGTGGCCTAGGAGGCAGAAGATGTCCAATGACCATGAAGCACAGGAAACACACAAACAATTTAAGGAGAGTTTATATCTTCTGCACATTCTAGGTTGAGAGGTCTGGGGCAAACTTTCTAGGAAAACTAAACTGATGCTGTACAGATGGAAGACTTTCCTTTCCAAACAATCCCACTGCCAATGTAAGAGCATCAAAATAAGTTGAAAGTTAATTTAACTGCATTTAAAACCAAGTTATGTAATGTTATTTATTTATTTTTAAGATAGGGTCTCACTATGTAGCTGAGGCTAGCCTTGAACTTTTGACAATCCTCCTGTCTCAGCCTCCAGAGTGCTGACATTAGAGGCATGTGCCACCCACCTGGCAAAAATCAACTTTTTTTTGAGACAGGGTCTTTCTTTGTAATTCAGGCTGGCCTTGAACTCCAGGCAATCCTCCTGCCTCAGCCTCCCCAGTGCTGGGATTACAGGTGTGTGCCACCACACCTGGCAAAAATCAATTCTTGAAACCTTATCCAACTTACTTTTTTTCCCCCAACTTACTTTTATCTGCCAAGTAATAACAACACAACAGGGCCGGGGATGGATTTAGCTCAATGGTTCCGCCGCCTCGCAAGCACAAGGACCCGAGTTCGATCCCCAGTACCAAAAACAAAAAAAACCCACAATAATTCTTAGGACGGCTATTAGGTCACAGCCTTTAATGTATGGCAAGCACTCATCTAAGTGCTTTGTACATATTAGCTCATCTAATCCTCACGACTATGAGGTAGGTATTTTATTTTCCATTGTACAGACAAGAAGACTGAGATACACATAAATCCCACAGGATTAATGCATGGCACAGACAGAATTCAAGTCCGACTTCTGCTCTTACGAAAGGCAAATCCCAAGGGCCCACGTCAGGGTGCCAGCAGTAATCCACCTCCTTTGATCACTTACTGTGTTAATGGAGGCAGACAGGGCATCTTCAAATGACCAACCAAGTAGAAGAGGTGTTAGCTGAAAAGTACATATATATAATCTGCATCTTAAAATGTGGTTTATACATTTCAGAATATATCTTATACATCTCAGAAGATTTTAATATATTTTGTAATATTTTTTGAGGAGGGATTTCAATTTGTTAACAGGAAAGTTAAATATAATACTCTTCAAGGTGTAAACTGCATGTACTGCAACCATACACTAATAAATATTTTTTTATTTTTAATAATATATTTTTAAAGTTAACTAGAATGTCAATAAATTGTTTTTGAATGTCAATAAATTTAAATCATGAAATAAATTTGACCAACATCCACCTTTTACAACAAACTTAGTCATGTGGCACATTCCAATACAAATATTATGCCATGTTCTATATGTGGCTGTCTTTTCCTGTCAGCTCCTAGAGGTCACCAACAGCACCCTGTGTTACTGGGAGCATCTGTGATGTCTAAAAAGTGCCTAGAGGCCAGGATTTAGCTCAGTGGTTTCTGTGCCTGCTGCACAAGCACAAGGACCCGAGTTCGATCCCCAGTACCAAAAATTAAATAAATAAATAAAAAGTGCCTAGATAAATCCTGATGAAGGAATAAAGAGGCTAGAGAAACAGAAAAACAATTTTAAGTCCACTTATTATTTCCATTCATGTTCTAAGACTCTAACACACCAGACTTACTTCCCATCACTCAACCATGCCATAAATTTATCAAGCAAGGCCTTGCTAGGTGAAGTATGTCCTCGGCCCAGCCACGTGGTTTATTCATCCCAATCTATAAGCGCATATTGTAAAATGCCTTATGACAAAGAGCCTAAGGAGATTTGTGCATGAAGAAGAGCAGACATATTGTTATGGTACCACACAGCTTTCAAAGTGCTTCCATATCTGTCTGTTGGGTGTCTCAAGCCAGCCCCCGGAGTGAGTAAGGTAGGTGTGACAACCTAGGAAGCTGTATCTAATGCTGTATGTTTTGGAGTCAAAACATTCTTTTCAATAACTCCAAATCCAAGTTAGATGCTTTTTCTGCATCTGGATAGAAAGTTTACAAGAATGACATATTTTTAAGTCAATCTTATATATTAATTTATACCATAAATAATTAGGCTTATCTAATCAAAGTTAAAACTGGCCAAAAGTCTTAAAAGATACAAAGGCAAAGGAAACTCACACAGTTAAGTGCAGGAAACTCACACAACTAAATAAAGAAAAATCTTACATATCCATATTAAATAAGGAAACTTCATATAAAAATGCAAGGAGACCACAGTCAGAATTCAATCTCTCTGGGTTGCTAAGTTAAGAAGCCCACGATAGACTGGTGGGAAGAGAACTGGGTGAGGTATCAGAAAGCCTGGGGTTCAGTCCAGCTCTGCAACTGATGAGCTCTGTCATCTCTAGTGCAACTCAAATTTTAAATTCAAAATTTTAAAATTTTGTTTTTAATCACACCCAGAGGAAATAATGCAAAAAGAAACATGTAACACTTTACATTTCAGAGTACAACATGGACAGCACGAAGAAAGACTCACAATCTGCTGATTTCGCTGTTCTAAGAGTCAAAGTTATTAGTTTGTCCTGGTTTTATCCATTAGTGGCTCTCAGTGGCTTAGGTTTAAATTCAGAGCCTCTGCACAGAAACACTGCAAAACAGAAACTGGTACATTTCTGCTGAATACAAAGGGTGCTAGGACAGTACTCGCACACCCTGACGGTGATGAGGAATAATCTAGGTGGGAACAGTGCTGTTCATTTGCCAAATATGTTGATTTCTTTCAAACTACTTATTAAACTGCTCCTTTACCATAAAACAGAAATGTGGCCTGTGGGTTTGGGAAGCCGTATTGTATCGCACACCTGGAAAGGCGGCCTACGTGGTGACCTTCCCAGGGCAGGGCTTATTCACAATTGTGTCCTGTTCACACAGCACAATAACAAAGCAAAGGACATATTAATATGTTGCTGGGCAAATGAATCACTGCTAGAGGACTCTGTTTTTTATATTTCTCTTAAATTTTATTCGTTATGCAAAATACTTTCTTACATTTATAAAGTACTTATTTTCAATTTAAAATGTCATATAGTATTCTTGTGCCATTGCAATTTTGAACTTTACCATCTCTCCATAAGTATACTGTTGTTTGTTTGTCAGGTTGCTTTGGTATTGGGGATCGAACTCAGGACCTTGTGCTTGCCAGGCAGGCACTGTGCTGCTGAGCTATATCACTGGCCCTTCATAAGTACACAGTCGTATCAGAACAAAACATGTTATACTGTTTTAGCCTTCCTAAGCAAAAACCATCTGGAATCAATACAGTGATGTGTTAAGAGATCTAGTCTCAGAATGAAATGTGGTCATGCTCCAAATGTCCAAATGTCTACAGAGTAAATTAGGATCAGAAAGGCTGTAGGAATCCACCTGCCCTGCTGACTGACTTCCAGGTGTAATACAATACTAGAAGATGGACCTGTCCATTTATAAGAGGCACAAAAGCAGAAGAGAGTGAAAAGGCCTTAGATTTAGAATTTGAAGGCCTGTGTTTAAGGTCGAGCTATCTGCTGATAAGCAGTGTAACTGTGGGCAACTCAGTAACACCTCGGGACCCTACTTCTGAACCTGTAAATGGACAGAACATCAGCTCTACCCCCTTTCAAAGGTGCTGCAAAGGTCAAAGGAAAATGTGTATGTGTGGATTATAAACTGGCAACAGCTGTACGTGTGCTACTTATTCTTTTTTTGCTACCAAAGAAAGCAAAGAGTTTAGATAATTGTTCTGTTTTTGTTTTTGTTTTTGTTTTTTATTTTGGTACCAGGGATCCAACTTGGGACCTTGTGCTTGCGAAGCAGGCGGTGGAACCACTGAGCTAAATCCCCAGCTAGATCATTGTTCTGGCAAGAAGAGAGACCAATATTCAAACATTCCAGGGGTTCTGGGGGAAGTTAGGATAAAAGAGCAAGATGAGCCAGATCGTCCAGGCAGAATTCAAAGAATATTAAAATGTGTTTGGTATCCAGTTCTTTATTTCAGTTAAATAATGTCCAGTCTGAACTGACAGCTTACTAAGGACTGAAGGACATAAGATCTTAGCCAGATTGTGTCTTACCACAAACAAAATGACCTAGGAGCAATGGCCTAACATGCTTGCTCTGTCCCCACTCATCCCAGCTAAGTACAAACAAAAGCAACACCAAATCCACTTTAGTTTGAAGAGCAGCAGTGTCAGGCACAAAATCAAAGAGCATCCACCAAAGATGCTCTTTCAATGTACAGGACAAATCCAATTTGATTGTAATGCATTTTACATATAAGAGATGTTAATTGCTAGACTCCAACTGCCTGCCTACATTCAAACCATTTTAAAACATGAATTCCATCACTGTGGAGAACATCCTACAAATACTACACAACAGTTTTGTCAGCACAGCGCAGCAACTTTAATGGAGAGGATGTTCACAAACATGCATTTTACTCCTACCATACACACACACTTGTGTACTCACTCGCTCAGTTCGTTCTCACAAGAAGATGGATGTCAGTGGCGCTTTACAGGTGAAGAGTCATACTGGGTGCTGGGTGGCAGATCGGCCCAGGATATAGCAGTATGTAAACCTGGAGAACTGCTCTGCATGGGACCTGGGCCCAGTAACCCAACACCAGCGACTAACAATGAGGTTAAGTAGTTTTCTGCCCATGGTAAACTCAACTGCCAGTGGGCCTGCACTGTGAATCTGCACTCCTTTCACAAAAAAGGTTTCTAACTTCCACTTTTTCTCCCATACTGGTGATTGAACACAGGGCCCTCTCACTGAACTCTTTTTTATTTTGAGCCAGCGTCTCCCTAAATTGCCCAGGCTGAGTTTGAACTTGCAGTCTTCCTGCCTCAGCCTCCTAGAGTGCTGGGATCACAGGTGTGCAGTACCTACCACACCCAGCTCTAACTTTAGAATTTAAACATAAAGACTTGTCACGACAGTCAGTTGTTTTCACAGAAAACTCTCCAAAAAAAACTTTCATTAAATAGAATCAATAGCTGTTTTATAAAGATTATCTCTGAGATCATTTCTAAATAAAAAATAACTTGCATCTTACAAACAAGAAAATATTTCAAATAAAAAACTTTAAGCATTATATTTTAAAAAATGTTTTCCTATAGTCACAGTTCTTCCCTTAAAATTAAATAAATTAACTCTAACCTAAATATCACTACTTGCTATAATATAAATATAAATTGGTTTTTCCCAAAAATCCCCATTAAAAAAATCCTAGTATTGGTAAAATAAACATTGAAATGGACAATAGTAAAGCTATCGTAACATTTAGATAAACTGCTAAACTATTTACCTGAGCAGGGGAAGTCAGGAGTGTTTGGACAAGACCTAAAGTCTGTAAAAGCCAGGCATACTGGCACGTGCGTGTAATTCCAGCACTCTGGGAGCCTGAAGCAGGAAGATCACAAGTTTGAACTCGGTCTGCACAACTAGGTACCATGGATGCAGCTCAGTGTGAAGAATGAAGGTTTGATCCCTAGTAATTAAAGTCTGCCAGCTGTCCAAGTAACCTACAGTGTTATTTGGTTAGTATTCAAAGATACAAAATAAATGCAGATATTAAAAACATAAAATTGTGGACTGGGGATATAGCCCAGTAGCATAGCATCTGCTAAGTATGCATGAAGCCCTGGGTTCAATAACCAGCAATGCAGGAAGAAAAGAAAAAACATAAAATTGTACATATTAGGTGTAGCGGTTAAGAGATCAGGTTTACATAGAGGCTGGAGGTGCAGCTCAGTGGTAGAGTGCTTGAGTAGCATGTATGAGGCCCTGGATCAGATCCCTAGCACCAAATAAATAAAATAAACAAACAAGTAATACATAACAATACAGGCTTTTATTTCCCATTAGTTTAATGACAGAAGATAGAGCTATACTGCTAAGAGAAAGAACACTAGAGAAGGGACCTTTTTAGTGGCTTACTCGTGAACATAACTAAGACATCCAAGACTACATAGATAAGGAAATTCCTTAAATTAAACACCAAAACAAATAAGTAAAGGTTTTTAAGGAAATTGTTATGGTTTGGGTCTAGATGTCCCCTCAAAGAGTGTGTGATGCTGGGATTAAGGGTGGGTGATTACTAAATCAGTCAACTGATTGATTGGTTTGGCACAGCCCCTAATCCCAGTAGCCTGGATACAATATGAGGGACAGAAAGACCCCTTGTTTTGTTCCTTGTTGCTTTTGCTGTCTTCTGCCGGCAATGAATTGTTTCTCCTCTGTGATGTCCCTCTGCCATGTGGCACTCTGCCTTGGAGCCAGCCAACTATGGACTGAAACCTCTATGAACTGTAATAAACTTCCCCTTTTAATTTTGGGTGTTGGTTATTTTGTCTCAACAATGAGAAAAGTAAGATAGAAACCAAGATGGTAAAGGAAGCTAAATAAATTCCTTTGTTTAAAAAAAAAATTATATATTTAACATACCCAGAGAAGAGCTATTCCATTTATGAAACAAAAAATAGAAGACTATTTTTTTTTTTTTAGTACCGGGGAGTGAACTCAGGTCCTTGCGCTTGCGCGGCAGGCAGAACCACTGAGCTAAATTCCCGGCAATAGAAGACTATTGAAAAGCAACATTCGGGAGGGGAGGGAATGGGAAAAAAAAAGGAGGCAAAACATCATGTACAGGTACAAACTCCTTATGATGAATGTTATCATGTATATCTAAAATGTACCAATAAAAATTTTAAAAAGAATCCATGAACCCCTCCTAATAAAATAAAAAGCAACATTCAGAGAAAAAATTCTTTTTGATGTTGTTGTTTTATTTTAACAATACAATTTTACAATTCTAGAGGCTGGAAGACTGCGGTAGGCTGCGCTAGACTAAAACTAAGGTGACACGAGGACCAAGTTCCTTCTGGAGACCCCAGGGCAGAAGCAGCTCCTTGCTTTCTTCGCTTCTAAAAGCCACACACTCACCTTGGTCCATGTCCCTTCCTACATCTCCAGCAAGGGCAGGCTGGGTCCTTCTCACATCGAACAACCCTTGCCTCAAAAATGATTCCTAAAAATTAAAAATATAGGCTGGGGATTTAGCTCAGTGGTTTCGCCGCCTGCTGCACTAGCTCAAAGACCCAAATTCGATCCCCAGTACCAAAAAAATAAAAAATTTAAAAATATGCCAGCAGGGCCTCGGATTTAGCTCAGTGGCACTGCACCTGCCTTGCAAGTGCATGGTCCTGAGTTTGATTCCTAGTACAAAAAAAAGTCAGCAGAAATGTAAAAATAATTAGGAGATCCTGAAGATGAAGTCCAAGATACTTTTCAAGAACAAAAAAGACAAAAGGAAGGAAAACAGAAAATATGAGAAAATTCAAGAACCCATCTGTCCAAAATTTCCAATACAAGTAATAAGAGTCTCAGTGAGAACAGGGAAAATTGAGGGTATGAGGGAGGCGGAAAAGTTGGTTAGTATTTAAAATTCAAAAAATCTCACAGAACTTAAAAATTTATTTCCAAAAATGGCACAATAGACAAAACAAAGCCCAGAGTGAGGGGATTATTGTAAAATTTCAGAATATCTCAAAGGAGGAAAAAAGAAATAAGAATCCGAAGCTGGTGGTACATGCCTGTAATCCCAGCACTCCTGGAGGCTTAAGATAGGAGGACCACAAATTCCAACCTACCCTGAGGAATTT